AGTTAAATGAAGAAGTCTACATGAAACCACCACCAGGTATGGAACTACCTGACAAAAGGATGGTCCTGAAGTGAAGAAGTCTCTTTATGGACTAAAACAGGCTAGCAGGCAATGGTTTGCCAAGTTAGCCAGTTCCTTGTTGAAAAATGGTTTTGCTCAAGCTGCTTCAGACTATTTAATGTTTGTTAAAAGGATTCAGGGAAGGATACTTGTTGTGTTGGTATATGTAGATGACATATTGATTGCAGGAAGCTCTCTAGGAGATATAGAACAATTAAAAATGTTCTTGGGAAGAGAATTCAAAGTGAAGGATCTTGGTGATCTGAAGTTTTTCCTTGGACTGGAAGTATACAGAGATGCTGAAGGGATTCATGTGAATCAAAGGAAGTATTGCATGGAATTGTTGGAAGACACTGGATATTTGGAGGCAAAAGACTGTTTAGCACCAATTGATTACAAGCTGAAGTTAACTGCTAAGCAGGGGGAGCCTCTTCCCAATCCAGAGGTTTACAAAAGGTTAGTAGGCAGATTACATTACCTCACTATCACTAGGCCAGATCTAACCTTTGCTATTCAGCAGTTATGCCAATTTCAGAAAGATCTATATAATGAGCACTTGCAGGTTGCTTATAGGATCTTGAGGTATTTGAAACATGCTCCAGGACAAGGATTAATCTTTAAAGCTAATTCAGAATTGAAGTTGAGTGGTTTTTCAGATTCTGATTGGGCAAGTTGCCCTGATACAAGAAAGTCCATTACAGGTTATTGTACTTTGTTCGGAGATAGTTTGATAACCTGGAAGTCTAAGAAACAGAGGACTGTTTCTAGATCATCCTCTGAGGCTGAGTATAGGGCCTTGGCACATCTGGTTTTTGAATTGCAGTGGCTGAGAGGTTTACTTGCAGAAATGGGTGTGAAGATTCCCTTGCCTATTCAGGTTTACTGTGACAACAAATCGGCTATCCACATAGCTGAAAACCCTGTGTTTCACGAGAGAACGAAACACATTAAAATAGACTGCCACATTTCAAGGGAAAGGCTGAAGTCTGGGTTGATCAAACTGGAATACATCAGAACAGATGATCAGTTAGCTGATCTTTTTACCAAGGGTATGACAAGGTACAGGCTGAAGTTTTTACTTAGCAAGTTGGGAGTTTTGGATATGCACTCGCCAACTTGTGGGGGAGTATTAGAGCAGATTGCATATGATCGTGGAGAAGAAGCAGAGCTTCAGAGTGAAAGGGAAAGGAAAATGAAGATGAAGGCTGCAGAAAGTTGATCCGACGCCGTTGCTTTTGTTCCGTTTCCTACTAGCCGTTAGTCAACTGGTCATCCAGTTAGTGCCACCTGTTAGGCACACAGTAGTTTATTTAATTTACCGTTTAACTTCCTTTCATTTTTTACTGTAGATAAATTATGTTTCGTTTAAATAGCAACAGAGAAGCATACTGCTCTCTCTGAGTTTTTCCCCTCCAATTCATAGTTGCTTAACCTAGCAGCTCATTTCTCTTTCTTCTCCTTCTACTTCTTAGACTCAGCCCCTTCATCGCCGTTTTACCCGCCAACCTTCTCTGTCACTGCCTCATTCTCGCGCATGGTGAGATGGTTTCCATATCGCCTCTAACGATTATTAAACAAGAGGAACACTGCCTCTGGATCTCATCGATTCTCCACCACCACCAACATAATGTCGCCCCGTTAGAACCCGCCATGTCGTTGAACCCCCTTCTTTGTGAATGCCTCTGAGTTGACTCTCCTTTCATGTCCGATTACCGATCTATGACTATAAGCTTTGATTTTGGTTATATTTTTTTATACTGAAACTCGACAAAGTGGAAGAGAAACGGATGTCAAGTTTGGGGAGACGGCAGCGTAGGAAAGGGTCCGGGAGATGGAGAGAGTGGTCGTAGAGGGAAAGAGAACATTCAACGAGGGAGTGGCGGCGGCTTTCCATATATGATGATTGATGAGAAAGGTTGGAAGGATGAAGGGTTTGCGGGGGAGGAGATTGAGTAAGGATACAAACTCTCTTAATTGTGGGCATTAAATAAAAAGATTTAGTTTTTATTTTATTTAATGATATGGCAAATTAAATAATAGAAATAATTAATTATTTAATGATGTGGCAGCCACATCAATTGTATTTTGCTGAGCCATTAACAGTGAGAATGTTTGACAATTAGTATTGACGGTCAACCCAAATGTTGTGCCAAATTTGTCCAATAATTTGAAAAGTGGGCTACAACTGTCTTATTCAAATATTTGGGCCAAAACTGACACTTACGCCAAACTTCGGGCCAAACTAGAGTATTAACCCTATAATATATACTAGCATTTTTGCCCTCGCTCCGCAACGGTAATTAACTAATTATATTTAGAATTTCATATACTTATTTAATAATAAAGTTGAAATCAAATCATTCAAAAAATCATTCAACTTAGATATTCTCATAACTTCTACTTAATGTCTTAATCATTACGAAAAATACATGTCAAGTATTTATTTAATTGATACATAAGAAATCATTTTTCTGTTATAAGTTTTACGTACTGTCTTAATCATTACGAAAAATTTACGTAATAAGTTTGTAGAATTGATATAGAGAAAACAAATATTTGTTCATAAGTTTTGTGTAATCCATTTGCAATTTGTATAAATGTCATTACGTAAATCTTCTGTAATGTGTGGTCTAATAATAAAATTAAGTTTTAAAATGCTTCACTTTTGATTATATGATAATGTAAAATTTAATTGACCTTAGAAAACATTTTTGTAATTTAAATTGATAATATAGTGAATGCTTTATTAATAACTGCAAGTGAAAAGGGAAACTACTTCATGTTAGATAAATGAAGAACACAAAAGAGGAAAAAGAAACCATCATTGTGATGCCTCCAACGCTCCTTATGCTTGTAGAGATCCTCCAAAGAAGAGGAACTTCCAAAATCTTCACTTGAACCAAACCCTAGACTCTTCTCCCACTTGGTTAGTGACTTTCTCTCTAGGGTTTGAAGAAGAAGAAGACTTCTCTCACTTTGGGCTCCCTTTCTTCTTCCTTTCAGCTCTCCATTTGTACTGAGATCGTGCCCAGTTCACGGCCACAGTTCACGGTAGTGAACTCAGTGAGATGGATCAAAATGCACCGCTTCACTTCTCGGGTTCACGGTTTGTGGCTCCAGTTCACGGTCTTAGCGACCGTGAACTGCCTTGGCTTCAGTAACCTCAGAAACCCCTCTAGACGCTTCACTGTTCACAGTTTGTGGTTTCAGTTCACAGTCCTGGCAGTTGTGAACTCCAATGCTAGACCGTGAACTCTGGCTAAATCCTCCTCTTTGCCCGGTCTTTGCTCCTTTTCTTTCAACTTTCGACTTCGGGGTTGGTTTCACCTATTAGACTCTGAAACACATCGAAACACAAGAAACCTAGCATAAAACCACCCCTTTTGGAGCTCAATTACCACAAAAGTCAAAGAGAAACAGGGATAAAAAGTGTACAATTAGGCCCGAATCACTCCCCCACACTTAGACGTTTGCTTGTCCCCAAGCAAACCATTTCACACAAGGTAATATCTCCACCTAAAAAATGCTTTGGGGACAAATCAAAGGGCACAAAGTGGCGAATCTCAATGGCTATTGGCAATTAACACATGGACCATTGCAAGCAATACCGACATCCACCACAAACGACATTCGAGGTCACCAAAACGGGCAAATGAAAAGTTCTCACCTTGTTCATGAATCAATGAAAGTCTTAATAAGATCACTTATCAACCACAACTAACCATTCATAACATTCAAGTCCAAGGAACAAACGAATGGGCAACAAAGGTCCTCACCGGGGTATGATATGACATGCAAAGCTAGAATGTATCACTCATTCTCTTGACCAGTTGGGTCAGGACATTTCTAGTGCAACGTATGTGCACAATCATCAACACTCGACCCTATCGTCTCTTCACCACGGCGGCAACCTCTAAATGTTAGAGTTCATGGGACGGTTGTCATCACTAGGTTGTTCGGAGGTCTTAGACACGGGTTCAAATGACTAATTGTCTTGGACATGGGGAAAAGGCTTTTTGGGTAGTGTCAAACAAAACACAAGGTCCTACATCTTAACCCTAAACCCGAAGGTTCTATGGTTTCGACTAAGAACCTTCCCTACAAACAATGGCCACTAGCATCAGCTAAAAACCTTGCTTCTCCCTTCCAAACTATCACCCTCATGAAATACATTTAAGCGCTCTTCCTCGCTCTACTCTTGCTATCACATTTTGACTTGGTAGTGAAGGAGTTCAACAACAATGTAGGGGTTTCAATGGTTTGAATGCCAAGAAATCCCACCTAGAGCATACTTTTTGATTTTTGTGGGACTCTCTACTTTATCTACCTCTTTTTATTACCTATTTTTTTATTCTTTTTCTTTTTACTTTCCTTTTCTTTCTCTTTCTCATTTTTTTTTTCTTTTTGAGGGGGGGGGGGGGGGGGGGGGGGGTTGTACTAGAGACTAAAACACTTGCCACATTATCATTAAAAACCAATGCTCTCTTTTAAAAACTTACTCTAACACTACTCTTTTATCTTTCATTCCTATCAAGAACCGCACACAATCCTCCTATGCAGAACCTCAATGGAACTCAAAAGCAGGAGCTCCGGGACACAATGACGAATCACGTATAGACACAAAGAAAGGATGGGGGGTCGTTCTATCAAACAACAAGCAAAAAGCTCCTACAAGAGAACGACGTCCAAAGTCACAAGCCTCAAAGGGGTTGACTAGGGGATAAAGTATTTCGGGACAATCAAAATTTGGGCGTGGACTAATAATATGCCTCCATCATACTCACTAGTGACAACTGTGATGTTATTCGCCATAGTAAGAGGGATCTAAGCACACGAGAAGAAAACGATCGGCTCAAAACTCACATGGATACCTAGTCACCCAATCATCTATTCCAATTCACAAAACACAATGCATGGCAATTGTAATCAACAAGTAATCGAGTCAAGACATCTATTCATTTTTGCACACATGAGAACTAAACCTTTGCACTATCCTAATGCACCTCTCAGTTATCATCATAGGACATGCTCGATCACATGCAACAATTCAAGGTCAATGCCAATAAACACAAGATTCTCCTACAAACCGGCCACTTTGATCATGCAAGCATTGCTTGGAGCCCTCAAAAATTTCAAATTTGGGCATACATCAAGGCTCCAAGCATCACTCACACTCACACAAGCATAATAATAAAATACTCCCCCCCCCCCCCCACACACACACACACACTTAAGCACTTAAGTTCGACATTGGCTCAATGGCGTAAGATAGGGGTAGAACGATGTTACGGCATAGCTTGGTGAGTGAAAGTTGGAATTTTTTCCGGGGTAGGAGATTTGAGCTTCAAGGAGAAGACAAAAATACACACACAAACACAACACATTCTCGCTCGAGGCGAGGTTATTACATATAACAATACGATAGTAGAACAAGAGAAACTTGCTAACCTCCATTGGGTTGCCTCCCAACAAGCGCCAGTTTAAAGTCTTAAGCTAGACGTAGACTTTGGACTAGGCATCTTGTAGGAACACCACCTCCTTTTGGGGAATTACCTCTCCTCCAAGGTAACGTTTGAGGCGGTTTCCATTCACTTTGAAAGTTCCTTGCTCTGGGTGGGAGATCTCAACCACCCCGTATGGGAACACTTTCATTACCACATACGGGCCCGACCATTTCGACCTTAACTTTCCGGGGAATAATCTTAACCGGGAGTTGTACAAGAGTACCTGATCTCCCAATTGAAAATCCTTCACTCCTTTCAGTCGAGCATCATGCAAGCGCTTCGTCTTTTCCTTGTAAATCTTGGTATTCTCATAGGCCTGGAGGCGCCACTCCTCAAGTTCAAAAGCTTGGTGGCCCAGAAATCCCTATGCTCTAGCTCTACGGGAAAATGACACGCCTTGTCGTACACCAATTGGTAAGGCGAGACGCCTATTGGGGTTTTGTAGGCTGTGCGGTACACCCATAGAGCATCATCGAGTTTTGCGGACCAATCCTTGCGGGATTGGTCCACGGTCTTTTCCAGTATCCTTTTCAGTTCCCTATTTGACAATCTACTTGTCCACTTGTTTGGGGATGATAGGTCATTGACACCCGGTAGGTAACACCATAGCGACCGAGGAGTTTGTCTAATTGCCCTTGAAAATGGGTGGGTCGATCACTGATGATGGCCCTCGGGGTTTCAAATCGTGAAAACAGTTTTGTAAGAAATCCGCAAACCCGTCTTGCATCATTGGTGGGGAGAGCTTGAGCCTCGACCCACCTCGAGACGTAGTCCACAGCCACTAGAATGTACTTGTTTCCAAAAGATAAGGGAAAAGGTCCCATAAAGTCGATGCCCCAACATAAAAAAATATCACATGTAATGGAAATCGTTTGGGGCATCTCATTTCAGTTAGACACATTACCTGCCCTTTGGCAGCTGTCACAATGACTCACAAATGTGTAGGCATTCCGAAATAGGGACGACCAATAGAATCCCGATTGAAGCACCTTCCTTGCAGAGATCGGAGAAGAACTTTCTTTTCCCATTAGTATTCATCCCCTTGGGAAATTACCTTCCAACCAAGTAATTAGCAAAGTCGGCAAAACAAGTGGCGGCACTCTCAACAGTTGCAAGCACGAACAACCGCCATCGGGGAAAGTGTCATTTATCTCTCTTTGGGGGTACTCCCTGTTGGTCCTTCGATTCGCGAGAGGCGGTCCGCCGCTAGATTTTTGGCTCCTTTTTTTTTGTCTTTGATCTCCACATCAAACTCTTGGAGAAGTAGGATCCATCATATTGGGGGGGGGGGGGGGGGGCTTGGCATCGGCCTTGTTCGTCAAGAAGCAAATGGCGGAATGGTCAGTGTTGACAAGAACCTTCAGGCTTCCCGCAAGCTCAAGAAACCTTTGAACATGCTCTCGCGGTGATGCACTGGCAAGCACGTGGAATAAGGCATTGTTTTGAATCATCGTCACAAGAGCGCGTTTGATTTCAAAGTTGTTGGCGACCGCGGGTGGAAGTAAGATGGGAGATTGGATATCCGCCGTCAGTGGAGCCATGTAATAGCCCATAGTCCTTGGCTCCCGCTTCCTCTTTTTGATTTTGAAGCGGATTAGCACCTCAATGTTGATTCCCCGCCATCTCAACTTCAACTTCTCCTTCAATTCCTTCAAATATGGGACCAACTTGTTGTCCCCTTTCTTCATTTCTCCTTCTTGCCTCCGCTAGCTCCCTCTCTCGAGCTAAAAGTCAGAGAGTCTGGTTAATGTCCTCATCCAGTGGTGTTAAAGTCGCCGGATTGCTTCGGGTCATGCACCTCCCTGCACACACTTAAAGAACACAACACGTCTAGCACAAGCACACTTCACAATTAGCAAAACTGAAAATAAATGCTAGATTAACACCAAACAATCTTTTCAAGATAACGGACCGAAGTTCCCCGGCAACGGCTCCAAAAACGTGACTCACTCCGACTATCACAATAAAATCCCACCTAAGGTCCAAGTATAAACCTTAGATGGGTGCAATATAGGGCAAATATTTTTAAATATCAACCCGGGCGGGTCCATGTACCCCTACTTTGATTGTTTGAAACATTATCTAGCGAATTGTTGTTTGTTGAAATATCTGCAATCTACGATTTAAAAGCAAGAATTTGAAAAGTAAATGGGTGGAAAACTCTTGGTGGGAAGGTTCACTTGGGTGTTGCTTCCCCCTAACTAACTACCATGAACCGTGGGATCAAATGAACCGGTGTGTGACAAGGAAATTGTGACCCATAGGAGGTGCAACAATGGTTAGAAACCATCCTCTCAATCGCTAGGCCAAGGTAAGCATTCCTTTTGGCGCAAGCAATTGAGGGTTGACTTACCTTCTCCCTCAAACCAAGGCTTGGACGACATATTCACATTTGACCTTGGTGTCTAATTCAAGTAGAGGTTTGCCCTTCATTAACCTAATTAGGAGGCATGGAATGCCTAAGAAAACCCATATCAATTTTGAGCATCTTAAGATAAGGGAGCTTCTCTCTACTTGAAACCCCTCTAGACGCTTCGTTGTTCACGGTTTTGGCGTTAGTAACCTCAGAAACCCCTCTAGAAGCTTCGTTGTTCACAGTTTTGGCGACCGTGAACTCCGGCTGAATCCTCCTCTTTGCCTGGTCTTTGCTCCTTTTCTTCCAACTTTCGACTCCAGTGTTGGTTTCACCTGTTAGACTCTGAAACACCTTGAAACACAAAAAACCTAGCGTAAAACCACCCCTTTTGGAGCTCAATTGCCACAAAAGTCAAAGAGAAACGGGGTTAAAAAGTTTAGAATTAGGCACGAATCATTGTGCCTTTAATATTATTATATTATTATTAGATATATGACTAATTGCTTAATTTGTTTGGTTGGTTAGAAGTGTGTAAAACCAAATAAAACCAAATCATCTATATCAAACAAAACTAATATATTTAACTAATTTTTACCAATTATCCTGATGGACCCAGAATTTCACCTTCTTTCAACCCGTACACATGAATAAAAAGCAAATAAATCCCTTTACGTGAAAGGATTAAGGATGTTTAATTTAATTACCTTCTCAACCAATTAACTTTTTAATTGGTTGGTTCCTTTTCTTCCATCAAAGACCCCAAACCCATTTTCACTAAATACACCCACGTGGAAGAAGCTAATTTTGGTTGGTTGGTCATTTAGTTGTTTGTTATTCATCCCAATCAAGAAAGTTAATACAAGGTAACCCCTTATTTTTACTCCCTCCCAATTAAGACAATTAACACAAGCCAACTTTTCTTTTGGCTTCATCCACGTGGCTTTTGGGGAGTCCTCTTGCCTTTAATTTTCCTATCTCCACCAATCACTCTCCATGTTAATATAGGAAATATATTGTGTTTGTTTGAGAGATGATCCACCATAGTTCTATCTTCACACAATCCTTCCACGTGGCTACAATGATAGGCATGGCAGTGCCACCATCTCATCTCCCTCCAACAAACAAAGTTACATGGCATGCAATATATATATTTACCATTTACATGAATGAGGTATGTGATTGGTGAGCTAGCTAATTGTTTACCTATAGCCAGCCACTCACTACCCTTTCTCCCCATTCACTTACACGTATATAAGAAGATGAGAAAGGTAAGTGGATTTCTTGTCTTTCATCTATAATTATTTGTTACTTTGTCTTTGCTTGATACATTAGTACTAACCAGCCATTGCACTAACTTTCGGTTGGTGGTGAGATAACCTATGTAGTTTTATACTCTTTAATTCATTATTTGCATCCAGCCATTGCACCTAGTGTTGGTTGTGTGGTAAATATATTATTTTTATTTTATTATTCATCCCATGCCATCTACGCCAGAAGCAGGAGGCACCTATAAATAGGATGCTCATTTATATCATTTTGAGAGTTCAATTCGGATAAAACTCTGAATCTCTCTCTAGAGTCGGCTTACTATGCCGCTCCCGGTTACTCTCCTCTCAATACTGACTTGAGCTTCCGAGCAGGTCCCCGCCGACCCACAACCGGCTGATTCCTCTTTTGCATGTGTCCATCTCGGAGGCTGGTGGTGGCGGACGTTGGCCAGGAGGAAGATCGGCGCTCACCGGACCTCAAACACATTGAAGCAGGCTCCTCGAAGCTTGGCATCAACAATTGGCGCCCACCGTGGGGTCCGATGAGATTAATACCAACAAACCGTCAATCCAGCAAGACGAAGTGGACACACAGGATCTGCAAGGCGAAGCCAGGATTCGTCAAGATGCAACTCCAAACATCATTCGAGTTGCTATCTCAAAGAATCGAGGATCCCAACAAAATGGACATGCACGATATGCAAACCGAAGATGGGATTCGTCAAGATACAACTCCAAACATCAATCAAGTTGTTATCTTCAAGAATCGAGGATCCCAATGAGACGGGCATGCAGGATCTGCAACCCGAAGAAGGAATTCGTCAAGATGCAACTCCAACATCAATCAATTTGCTATCTCCAAGAATCGAGGATCTCCCGATCAAGATTGAGTTGTGTCAATCCTTGATCCGAAACTGTGGACCCTCAACCCCACTAGTTCCTCCGTCGATTTGTCGTGAAATCATAGGATCCTCGAGTCCTCTCATGGAATGGCGCCTTGACATCAACAATTGGCAACTATAGTAAGGCTTGATGAAAAGTTCCATCAACAATTTGCGCTTACTATGGAGCCCGGTGAAGAAATTTACAAATTGTCAACGTCAAACCCGCTAGGAGAGATGGTGGAGAAACCTGATGTCGTGCAATTCACAACGAGGTCGAGGGGGCACCGATTTTGGTCTGCCTCTCATAAGACCTACAATTTAGCAGAGAAGTCCAGGTAGTCTACTTTTTAAGTAGGCTCACCTCCATCAATCAGGTCAAGGGTTCAATTCCCCGCGAATTGCTATTGTGAAAAAAATATCCACTTTTTCACCCACACCACTCTGCCTCCCATCTCTTTCGAATCATGATGGGACAACTTTTGCATCATCATCACCAATTTGGCAAGGGAACCTATTCCCTTCTCATGCTCCAATCGAGGAAATCCAAGTATGAGAAAGTTTTTGTAAACTCAAAAACTATCTGGTAATCCCTCCTAACTCTCATTTATACTTGATATCAAATTTCTCCTATGATGTTGCATAACCCAAACTATTGTCCTAATCGCTCATACACGGACAACACTAAACACACACCATAAGCCCGCAACGATTGGCATTTGTCGCTTGCCATGATTGGTTTGGGTCGTCTACTATGATTGTCACGATTCTCCATGGTGCCCACCACGACTAGTGCGGCCTGCCTGTCACAATTGACACGGCTGTCCATGATCGGTCGACACGATAGTATGGCCCATCAACCATGACCGGCACGACTCTCCAATAATTGCTCGCAATTTGTGTCGGGTACGAGTAACATGGTTTAAATCACTCACCTAGTGAGTTATTACCAATAGAAAACTTTAGTTCAACCTTAATTTTTCTATTGGTAAGGGGGCAATCGATGGACCCAGAATTTCACCTTCTTTCAACCCGTACACATGAATAAAAAGCAAATAAATCCCTTTACGTGAAAGGATTAAGGATGTTTAATTTAATTACCTTCTCAACCAATTAAATTTTTAATTGGTTGGTTCCTTTTCTTCCATCAAAGACCCCAAACCCATTTTCACTAAATACACCCACATGGAAGAAGGTAATTTTGGTTGGTTGGTCATTTAGTTGTTTGTTATTCATCCCAATCAAGAAAGTTAATACAAGGTAACCCCTTATTTTTACTCCCTCCCAATTAAGACAATTAACACAAGCCAACTTTTCTTTTGGCTTCATCCACGTGGCTTTTGGGGAGTCCTCTTGCCTTTAATTTTCCTAGCTCCACCAATCACTCTCCATGTTAATATAGGAAATATATTGTGTTTGTTTGAGAGATGATCCACCATAATTCTATCTTCACACAATCCTTCCACGTGGCTACAATGATAGGCATGGCAGTGCCACCATCTCATCTCTCTCCAACAAACAAAGTTACATGGCATGCAATATATATATTTACCATTTACATGAATGAGGTATGTGATTGGTGAGCTAGCTAATTGTTTACCTATAGCCAACCACTCACTACCCTTTCTCCCCATTCACTTACACGTATATAAGAAGATGAGAAAGGTAAGTGGATTTCTTGTCTTTCATCTATAATTATTTGTTACTTTGTCTTTGCTTGATACATTAGTACTAACCAGCCATTGCACTAACTTTCGGTTGGTGGTGAGATAACCTATGTAGTTTTATACTCTTTAATTCATTATTTGCATCCAGCCATTGCACCTAGTATTGGTTGTGTGGTAAATATATTATTTTTATTTTATTATTCATCCCATGCCATCCACGCCAGAAGCAGGAGGCACCTATAAATAGGACGCTCATTTATATCATTTTGAGAGTTGATCTTGAGAGTTCAATTCGGATAAAACTCTGAATCTCTCTCTAGAGTCGACTTACTATGCCGCTCCCGGTTACTCTCCTCTCAATACTGACTTGAGCTTCCGAGCAGGTCCCCGCCGACACACCGCCGGCGGATTCCTCTTTTGCAGGTGTCCATCTCGGAGGCTGGTGGTGGCGGACGTTGGCGAGGAGGAAGATCGGCGCTCACCGGACCTCAAACACATTGAAGCAGGCTCCTCGAAGCTTGGCATCAACATATCCAAATTAACAAAACCAAATTATTGAAATACTACCACTTAAAATGGTTACCAGTTGTTATAAGAAACGAACCGGATCAACGGGTGGGCCAATAGAATAGCCAAACCAGCTACGATAGTGGTACAATTCATTGCTTGGACGGTTATTGATAAACCAAACGGTTTCTCAACGTTCAACATCAAACCAGATGAACCACCACGATTTAACTGGCTCACTAGTTCACAAATTTTAACCGCAATTTTAAGAAAAATACTTTAACGTAAACTAGGACCATTAGACATGAATTATTAATTTTATTACTACTTCATCATCTCATTTCCCAACCTCATTGGCGACTTTACTAGTCCATTATCGACTGGCACCATAATTTTTAACTTGAATTTAGAAAATTTATGATTTTTTTGTGAGACAGTTTGAATGATTTGTTAGGTATTTTGGTGATGATATGAATTTGAAATGATTTATGGTCAATGATAACTTCATTCTTAAATTATAGTATTATACAAATCTATTATGTTATATATCATGAACGGTTCTATCAACTGTTCACCAATGGTTTTGTAATGGTTAACCAATGAACCCTAAACCACTCTCTTTTCAGGTTCCGCCTCCAATCCAGTTCTGAAAATAGAGCTAATACCACTCCGTTTGAACACACCTACCGTCTACGCAAAAGGTCCTCGTTCCTCCGCGCGCTTTCAAATTATTAGGGGCTTTTCACTCCACAAACATCCAGTGGCGCTGACAATTTGTTGTGATTATAGGTGGCAATTATCAATCCAATTCATTAAAAATATCCAACTAATTCAATCCATTTGATGCAAATTCAATTGGTTTTGTGGATTCATAGATCATTAGCAAATTATAATTTAATACCTAGAATTTTTTATTTTTTATATTTTGGTACCTAATAATTAATTTTTTATACAAAAAATTTCACTACAAAATTACGATTTTGTACCTAAAATTTTTCATTATAAAATTTTAGTATCTAAACTTTTCACATTTTTGGTTGAAAATATCATTTGTATTCATGGATAATCCACCAATACAAATGATTCAATCAATAAATCGACCAATCCATTTGCCACCTCTAGTTGTGACCTTGGAGACAGCTGCCGAGGCCACGACTAAAGGAATGGAGTTTCCTTCTCAAATAACAGCCAACGAATGAATATCAAAACTCGAATAATAAATAATAGGGTAAATGAGCTCCAGCGAGCGACTTCCCTTCATATATTTGAATCTACCTGCAACTTTCTCTCTTGCCTAAAATCACAACAACTAGAGCAACACATATCATGTTACAACAAATTGATATAAGAAGCGTCGAAAGCCAAGCACGCTAAACTCTACTGTCCGTGCTTCTAATCTTGCGGTAAGCACCCTAAGACAGGCACAAGACTGTTTGCTTTGCTTTATCTTGCTTTTCAACAAGTGACAAACTCACCACGTAGAATGAGTCTCACCATCACCTGAATAGAGACGAGAGTCGATACATTCTCCCTGTTTCCTCAACAGATGATGCCTGTTTGCTTTTGCGACTTCTCCTCTCGATCCTCTCTGACACCATATCCTGTAAAACTATATGGGCATCCCTCTTACGTTCCATCTTCATTTTCTCAACTTTTCTTCTGTCCTTCACCTTCTTCACACGCTTGCCAGCTTCATCTCGATATCCCTCTTCGACTATTACATGATCTTTCAACTTCTTTAGGACTCCCTCCTGCTCCAGAGACTCATCCACCAGTTTTAGCTTCTTGCTCGAATCCTGCTTTGATATCCAGTCGTCAACAAATGATATGACTCGCTTTCTTTTCTCATTGGCCACAGTCCGATGCTTCGATAAATCAGGAAGTGTTTGACCAAGTTCTCCCTCCACTGGGATCACTGCCTCCTCATCCTCCATGTTTGTTCTTCCATCAGCATGTCCACAACTCAAAGTTTCCAAAATAATTTTCCCCAAAGCAAATCTAGTTTCTTGCACATCACCTTTACCTAGTTTCCTGTAATCTATTATCAAACCGTTCCTCTTTCTTCCATGTTTGTGCTGGTGGAATTCGTTCCCTTTGACTAAGGCATCAAAAAGATTAGCGACCTCCATCCCTGCTTTCTTTGATACAAATACCTGGAGCAGCACACACTAAGATTTGAAATCGAGAGCACAAAGGGTCTGGCTATACATAACAACTCATTCGACACCACAAGTTAAAATCAAAATGGGGACATGAAAGATTACAACCATAGAGGACAAACACGTACCAGTTGTAGGCACAATGCATTGAACGAAATGGCCAAAATAAAGTAGAAAACCTTTTGACCAATATCCATACTGAAAACTTTACTACAAAGTGAGCAAAAAACATTTTTACTTCGAATTTATGAGCAAAAAGACAAAATAATAGTAAGCAGTGAAAACTTGAGCATCAAGTCGTAAAATGATTCAGGAAAAAGTGATAACATTCAAAAAATCTTAAGCATGTTGAACTTGAGACGGTTTGTTTTCTACACAATTGTCATGAGCTCAAATGTACATACCATATTAGACTGTGGGGTGGCTGGGTATCTGGACATGAACTCATAAAGTTTGTCTCTGTCAAAGAACGATCTAACACATTCTTGAACTAGACACGCAAACCGAGTTACGCCCTCCACAAGTTGATCATCTGACTTAGATTCAGAGAATCGTGATATCTCAGGTGCAAAATTAACCTGAAGGTTTGAATGTTCCCTCACAAAATTAAGACCTTTGTCCCAACCCCCGTGATGCAGCACAGAAGCAAAAAGCAAGATTACTGATAAATCTTGAGGCTTAATAACTAATGCTTGGTGAACCGCAAATACTCCAAGCCTGTCCATTGAAGATAGAGGTCAGGTGTTTGATATCAAGCTATCAAGCATATAAATTTTAATGAGGCCAAAGATAGCCAGCGTTACAGGATATAAATAGGCCAAAGAATAGTAGCAACGGCAACCAACACAAACGAAATTCTGAGCAAATATTTAACATGTTCTTGATTCAGTTGCATCCCCGCCACCCCCACAGCCCACAACAAGAGAGAAAATCAACCATTAGTTGCTTTCCCCAGCAGAGAATCACGAAGCACATATGCTTTAGAATGTGTAACAAAATATTATTACTCATCAGTGATGGCATGCAATTTACAAATGAACTGTTAGTTTCACATGAAATAACCAGTTCAAAAACCAAAGTTTATCATCATCCTAGAAAACTTCCAAGATATAATCTGAGAGAAAAGAAAGTGAAGAGAGTGCAGAGGGTACACACCAAAGACTGCAGCTGCAAGGCTGATCACAGCTAACCAAATTATCCAAATTGAATAATAATTTCTGCCAGAAAAAGAAAACATATAAAATTATGATCATAAAAGCTCCAAAACCTTCATTGACTGCATCATTCATGACTTAAATAGAGTTCCAAAAGAAGGGGGTAAAATAGTGAAACAAGCTCTAAGGGTAGCTTACCATTAGTATCATGGAATGCATAGGAGAATTCTCAGTACAATGCTGATGTAGGTAGGCTGCCTGCAATAAGGTGTAGTTTATACAATGTCATTGGACTGAAACCAAACCAATTTAGGAAATAGAAAGAGAACCAGACCAGGAAAAACTGACATGGAATGGAAAAAATAATCCAAGAAGGTTGAATCTCTGTAGCAAACTGATAGTAGGCTCCGAGGCTCCATAGGCAAGCATGTAGTTGAATTCCAACATTAACCTGAACTGAATTGCAAGAGAATCCACATCTTTTGAATAGGTCAAATAAAGTAACAAGTTTTGCAACTTCTCAGTTTCTTAGGTTATTCTGGAAGTGATACCGGAAACAAGTTCATGTTTAGGAGCATGCATGCACATGGTAAGAAGCTCTAATGTATGCCCATTTAAAATGTAGGTCCTTTGCAATGCAGTCAAACTCGCGCTTTAAAACTTAAAAACTTACGATTTTACGCTTTTAGGTCACCAAAACGCTTTTGTTTCCATATAAAAACGTAAGTGTATAAAATCGGACTAAATTGCGCTTTAAAGCTTAAAAGCTTACGGCTTTACGCTTCTAGTTCTCCAAAACGCTTTACGTTTTTACGCTTTTAGTTCACTAAATGAGTATTCTTTTCATGAAATTAATTATGAAAAGTATATTTTAAAAGTAAATCACTAACAATATGATACATTTGAGATTAAAGATACATATAAGGTACTTGGATGCATTCTCAACTTCGATAGAGTAATCTAATTCACCTGTTAGGCTTTTCCCAAATTCATTAGCATAGTGGGAAAAGTGGCTTATTGTTAAAATTTATGTTTACAAACTTATTATTAAGATGCTATAAGTTGTTCTACTTTAGGCATGAATCGCATGTATTTATTGACTTATCTAAATTATGTGCATTAATATTTTGCATAGCATATGTCCTACTTAATACATTTTTAGTTATCTTTTTAGTATGCGTCAAAAACTTACGCTTTTACGCTTTGATTATACGCTTTACGATTTTAACCCGATTCCGCTTCTAGATAGAATCGCGCTTTTGACTACATTGGTCCTTTGGAATTTGAAGTAAAGAAAGAAAAGATGTGAGATGAAGAGAAAACTTGAACCATATAAACAACTAAAGTTTATATGCTTAAACAACCTTGTCCAAACTTGCAATTGAAGTTGAGAGTTGATGTACTGCGGTTTCAGTATCTGGTGATAGTGATAGGCCGAGGCGACCGGCAATGCGTAAGCCACGTAATATTCTTGCTGCATCAAAGAGTTTATGCATAATAGCTATAGCATGAGAAATCTCCAAGTTATCAAAATATAAATAATTAACAGAGACGGAGGAATCACCTACCGCAATCCTCTTGGAATGACAGTCGAGCAGGGATTATAGTCTGTAACTGCAACAATAATCCAAAGCAATTAGGAAAGAAGGCTTCAAAACCCTTTTATCTTTCAACATCAATCATAACTAGTAAATAAAGAAAAATGCAAGTCAGTTCATACGTTCAGCGCCCTCAAATCTTCCATCCCATTTGCATAATCATATATAACATTCTTGAAAGGATCAAAGAACAAACTGCATCCACAATTAGTGTGAATTCCACATCAGATACCAAATACTAGAGAACCATGCTCTTCATGGAATGAATAGTAGGCTTCTATATTGAACCATGCTCTTTTCTATTACCTACCTATTAATTGTGAAGTCGCGATTAATGCTATTTCTCCAGAGTATGAAATCTTTTTTATTGCAGCCACTCGGCATTTCATAAGGAATAGCCTTTTCTTCAGTATCTTTTGCCACTGTGTCAAAGCTTGATACCTATAAGAACATGCATCAGATAGTGCAGCACGAATGTCCACAGGAATGCATCAATGCAAGGCAGAGAATATCACAGCAATTGCTCAAAGAATATCTAACCTCAACTACGGAACCTTTCATAGAGACCCTGCATATGGGGAATCTTCGTCCAACGATGTTGCAATTTCTAAACTGTTTTTCAATCTGTCACCAAATCAGAAGCGAAAAGGAACTTCAGGAGCTGAATCCACTTGTTTTATTGATCAGGAAATGTAGAACAACAGGGAAGGAAACACATTCGACCTGTGAAAGGTTCGCAGTGGTGATCACATCATAATCTTTAGGCACTCTATTTAAAATTAAATCCCTAACACATCCACCCACAAGGTAGGCCTCAAATCCTGCATACATGAGGGATGAAGTTAGCTTTCCAGAGGAGACAAAAGAAAGGCATAGTAGAAAGTATGTAAAATCTACCAAAGACAGGATGAAAGGACACTAACCTTCATATCTCAGGATTTTCAAGACTGTCCACGGCGAATCCGGAATTTGGTAAGGTGTTATACCATAAAGCTTCGCCTGAACCTTTTTCCACTTTGACATGTCCACTGTTATCTCTGTGGCAAGAACACGAGCTGTTAGCCCCCTAGACAGACAGGTAACAATTTTAAGTGCTATCAAAGTAACAAACCGCAAGCTTAAGGAGAAGCAGTTGAAAACTAACTCTGTGGAACCATGGAACCGGAATTCACATCAGCGTAGGGTTCAGCAGGCAATGTCCCTTCTACCACAGTGTGAATCAATCTCTACAAGAGAAACCCAGAAGGCGGTAAGCTAAAAGGAGACAGAGTACGCAGTTGCTCGACAAAATACCCCCAAAGGCATGAACATGGAAGAGAAGTAGAGGAGATAATTATGATAATGAAGACCTGGAAGCGGACATGTGACTTGGTTAGCGAGGCGAGGCGAGATAATATGCAATGTCTGCTTCGGTTGAAATTCTGCATCATCGTCGGTCAGGTTTATGCTCGACAGGGAGAAGCTGAAAGCTGGAGAGGATGGTTTCAGCTTTGACGCCTGGGTCAGCAAGGAAGCAACAGGGGAGATGGAGCGGGGATTTGAGCAGAGAAGTTTGGATAAAAGAATTGGCTGCGATGAAGTTACCTCTCTTTTTTATGATGATTGGCTGTTGCGCAATTTCTTCAGGGTGATCGGAGGCGAAACCAGGAAACATCGATTTCGGAAGCAGATGAGGAAGAAGAAGGTGAAGGGGGATTCACGAGTGTATGGTAGATGGAAGTGTGGGCTTGGATTGAAAGAATTTTCAATTCACAATTGCAATACAGAAGAAGAAGAGGCTAAAGCTCGACTTTGGATCTGGGTATTTGGAAGGCTAAAACTTCGACCAATGGCATGCACCTGCAAGCTCCCCAAACCCAGAGAGAGGGGAACAATTTCTTCTGGTTATTGATAGAAGAGATAGAGAGGATCGGCGGGGAAGAAACGAAAGGGAAAGATGGCGCTCACCGCTCACGTGTAGCAGTGATTTAGGTTTAGGAATTCGCTATACGGCACTAAAAATTTGATTATAAATCAGTCAACAAATTTCTTAATCATTACATTACATTATATGCATGTTTTTTAATAATTTTAATTAATAATTATGTTGCACAATATTTTCTAGTTATCTTAAAATAAAAAATTATTTATAATATAATAATAATAATGTTCTCTTTACGCTTTGCATATCAAATTCTTCTAAAATAGATGCTTTCGCTTTCGCTCCCCCTCTCGTTCTGCGAATTGGTTACCTCCAGACACAACAAATTGATTACCGGGTTGCAGAATGGACACCCCTGAAATTATAGAGGCCATGTTCCAAAAACAAATTGTGGTTCAATTTTTTGAAAAATTTAATAAAATAAAATTATTACATCGTCATTAAGAAAAACATCCTTCAAGCATTTTTTGAAATAAAACTATCTATAAGTTCTTCAATTTTTGTATTCTCCAGTAGATCGTTCTCATCGCAATCATAGCTAATCCATTGAGCCTTTCTTGTGTCATTGTAGAACTCAATAGGATTTCAACAACTTCAGGTTCGAAAAACTTCTCTCTGCAGTAGCAACAGTCACAGGGATAGTTAACAATATTCTATATACTATAATGGCATTAGGAAAACAATCGCCTTTGTTTGAAAAGTGGTTGTTTTCTCTTAGCCAGTGTTCCCCGTGACTAGTCCCTTTTCCAGTCTGCCTTGATGACTGATCCATTCTCCAGTCCTGCTGCAGTCATTTCTCCCAATAACATCGTTCCCCTTATATTTCCCTCTTCTCCATTCAGGACAATGTGGATCTTAAGTGTGGGGAGGGTGTTTCTCTTTAACTGCATAGATGTGTTTGTATGCTTGGAGCCTAGTCCGCTGTCCAAATTTTACGATTTGAGGTCTCCAATTATTTGTTCCTTGCAATTGTCTGCTCAGTATGCTTTGAATCGCCAGTCTTTAAAGGGATATGCAACATAGGGAGGTTAGTGTAGCACTATGGAGGATACTGATGCTTAAGAGGTCTCCTATCATTTTCATGTTGTCTTGGTTGATTGTAAAAACTAGGGGCTTTAGGACAATGAATTAATGCGGTATCGATGACTCATGTATCATGATTGGGTGCTCTAATTTTGCTTAATAAGAACCAGTTGGTGCTCCATGTCCGAATTTGAAGCATGGGGTAAGCCCAACATGTGTGGCATTGTTCATTGCAGTAAATCGGGTTTTGGAAGAGACAGTAGTTGATCTTTAGTGAGGTACTCCTACAAGGTGATGCTAGTTCCTCTCTAGTAAAAGTAAAAGTTCCACCTTAGAACAGATTGCCTACTTGAGGATGCATTTTTTAAGGGCACGGATAAAGCTTCCAACCCCCGCCCCCTTTAATTTCAATGACCCTCCACTTGAATTTAGGAAAAGGAGTTAAAAGAAGTTCTCTGATGAGTGTCAGAAATAGAGAAATTGCTCTTGCTCAACCAATAAGGGTTGACCTTGAAAACAATAGGTTGGAACCCCACCAGGAAAAAAATGAAAGGAAGAAAGATTTATCACTCTGTGAGGTTCGATTTTATGATAGGTTGTGCTTGTTTCCATTATATTTTAGATCCTAGTACGTGGAATCGGCTTTGGGAACGAAAGTTGGATGAAAAGGGGCAAAAACGGATCAAAGGGAGCAAACAGTCGAGGATCACGGTGAAAGCCAGAAGTTCACGGTCACGTCGGCAGTGATAAAGAGGCCAGGACCATGAAGTGCATGTTGACCAGGGAAGTTTTTCAGCCTCGCGAGCTTACGAGAAATCATGGTCACTCGACCGTGATAATCCGCTCCATATCGTGAACTACCTAGTGAGAGAATTGCTTCTTCTAGGTGGATAACTAGAGCCTGAACCACTATACTACATCTCTGAATTACTATTATACTTGGTTGTAGTTTAGTTTGTCAGTTTTAGCGAGTCAAGACCCTTGGCTACATGGGTCTTATCCATGTCTATAGGGGTTTCTAGTTCATAGTCGGATTGCGACCTGCTAGACTTTTGAGATAAGTCACAATAGCAGTAGAGGAGTCGATCGAGGTTGCCCATAGAAGACCACAACATTGTCAGGTACTTTTCGGTGCTTTTTCATCCCATTCAGGTGCTGTCCCTTCTTCTTCAGTCGAGCTTGAGGCTAGAGTTATTACTCTTGAAGGAAACTACACTTGTATCATGTCCAAGCTCGACAGAGAGCAGGAAGCCTGGCACCGTTCTCATTACATTGAGGAGGAGCTCATGCACCAATTGGGTCTTAAATTATATGATTCAGACTGGGATTCCTCTCCTCCTCGTTAGCAACAACCTCGTCGGGATGATGATCGACTTTGAGTGCCATGTTGAGCACCATACTACCATTTCACCGTCCTCTTCACTTGACTCTTTATTTTCCTTTTCGTGTGTTGAATTTGAAATACTTTGTTATTTTCTTTTTCTTTGAACTATAAATATTGTGTTTCACCTTTGGTGAGTTTGTGTTTGTGTGTGTGTTTGTTTGTCCATTGTGATAGATCTCTCTCTCTCTCTCTCTCTCTCTCTCTCTCCTGAAACTGGTCCACTTTACCGTCAACTATTCACTCGTCATGATTTAGTTACTTCGTTCCACCCTTATTCTTCCTCCGTTGAGGAAAATGTCGTGATTAAGTGTGGGGGTGTGGAATGTGTATGTGAATGGCGTTTGAATGCGAGTGTGAATGAATGGCATTTCTATTGAATGCTTTGGAGCCTTTTTATTTCCTGAATTTCAACAATATGAGGGCTCCAAGCACTTGTTGAGGAATGAATAATATTGGCCTATATTATGTGTGTTTAGGACCTAGATTTTATGCCCAAATTTTCAAATTTGAGCGTTCCAAACATCTTGTACCATGCATTACTCTTACTCATTGTGCTTTGAGTTGTTGGATGTTGTGATGGTATGCATTCTAGGGGTTTTAGTGTAGCATTTGGAAGGGTGTTGGTCCATGAGAAATGTTACCCCTACTTCCTCCTTGGTTGGTTGATACTATTAACTAGTGGTATTTAGACATATGTGTTGGGATCTCCCATTTTGGGACCCAATTTTTTTTTCAAAAAGGTGCTCCATCTTGAATGTGCTTTTAAATGAAAACTGAGTGTTCTCACGTGAGAGGCAGTTGGTCCACTGTCTAATCAATAGTAAAGCAACCAAAATGAATTACAACTTGGACCTAATTGAGGAGTTAGGGGGACTCATTCTCGAGTAACTCTTCTCTTGCTTTAGAAAATCGAACAACTTGCTGCTTTCTTTCTGATTTAGTTTAAGTTCATTCTCACTCTAATTTTTACCGATAGATAATAGAATTACCCAGAGTAGATAGTAAATCTAGGACCCAGGTTGATAAGTAAAAATGAACCCACTATACTGCATTTCCATACTGCGATTACACTTGGTTGTAGTTGGTGTTGTGTTTTAGCAAGTCAAGTTGTTGGCGCCGTTGATTGCATGCTTAGATTGGTGGAATTTGCTATGAATGGTGCTTGAATGGTGGAAAACAGATATGAATGTGCATGTGTATCGCGCTTGGATCCAAGTCCACTATCAAAATCTTTGAATTTAGAGCTCCAAATGCGGTTTACCCTGTTCTTAATCGTTGACCTCGCTTCTATGTATGCCACATGTGTATTTTTTTGGTTATAGGACCATGAATAACTACCCATACCTACTTACTCGAGATTCGAGGAAGACTCTGCATGATCTCAAGACCCGCGACTTATATGAGCATCATCACCTCGATCTTGGGATCTTTGAGGAGCTTGGAGCTCGAGAGGCAATGGAGGCTGTTGTTCGCACCTGTTCCTGGCGGCGCCTCCTCTGCCTCTCTAAGCCGGCAGACAAGGAGCTCGTCTGGGAGTTTTTGTAACACCCCATTTTTGGGTTTAGGTTCGACCGAGAAGTTGGAAGGGAATTGGAAATAATTAAAGCGTTGAAGAAGGAGGAACAGGCTAGAACACGGGCCGTAACATGGCCATGTTGCTAGAACGTGTTCGCTGAAGCATGGTATTTTGTCAAAGAAAGAAATTAAGCGGTACAGAACGGAACACAAAGTGTTGTCAGTCTGTGTTCACTTAAGTGATCATTTTATTATCGGGATTAATTGGCCGAGCAATTTCGGAGGGAACCAGTAACGTAGTGTAACACGGTCTAAACACGCCTGTTCACATGGCCGTGTCGCTCAAGACGATTGGAACAGGGATATTGATTGGTGAGAACACGGGCAAAAACATGGTCGTGTCTCGTGCCCGTGTTGCATCTGTATAAGAACATGCAGATTCTTCTGACCAACTTTTTGGCACCGAAAACTCCTCCAAACGCTCTGGTCGAGCAAAGGAAGAAGGAAAAGAAGGAGTACCCGACCCATCTCCCTCTCACCCTCATCGTTCCTCCGCCGGCCCTCCAATGTCGTCACCATATTCTCGG